TATTTACATAAATAACCACACCATTCTTTTTCTGCGAAGTTGAAGATATATAATGTGCTCCTAGTTTTGAGTTTATCAAATATTTTTGATCTTGAGTTGTAATGTGCGTTTCTTGTAAACATATTATATCATTATTAAATTGTTTCAAATATGTAAATAATTTTTTCCTTTTCTGTGCTGAATTCAACCCATTGACATTCCAAGATAAACACTTAAAGGTCATTAACCTCTTCATGGAGCGCGGAGCAATATGCTTGAAGTTCATCCACAAGCTTCGATCTCGCTCCTCCCATAGCGCCAATCTCTTGTGCAGTGCTCTTAACTGCCTTCTTGTCTTGTCTTTCCTGTTGTTGTTGTTGCTTCTGTTTAAGTAGCTTGGATTGAGCTCTAGTTATACGTTGATCTTTAACTTCAGTCAACTGAATCAAATCCAAAATTGGAGAAGAGTCCAGCGATGGCTCACTCAGAATACCTCCTTCTGCACCTTGCACGTTTTCTAATTCCTGCTTAGACTGTTCTTTCAATTGCCTCTCTTCACTCTCCTTAATCTCCAGAACTGTAGATGTACGTGGAGATGGTGTTCTTTCCATAAGAATAGTACTGTAAAAGTGTTGCGCCTTCTCCACGGTATTCAACCGATATCCTTCTCCCTTATATCTGAAAATTACCCCAGCTGGTGCATCCCACCGGAAGGGTATCTGTAAATTTTTCAATTCCTTAACAAGAAAACCAAATTCTTTTCTAGCTTTCAGCATTTTAGGAGGTAACTCTTTAAAAATTACAAGCCGTGAGCCCCCCACTTGTATAGAGGTGTGGAAAGATTTTTGCAGGATATCATTTCTAATTTCTCTCTCAGTAAAGTATATGACCACATCTCTGGGTAGTTGTCTTTGCCTGGCCACCCAAGAGTTCACTCTGTAAATTTTATCTATTTTATGAAATACCAAATCAGGATTAACTTGTAGAATCTTAGCCAGGGCTTCAGAGCAAACTTGTCTCAAGTCCTGTCTTTCCTCCTCTCGAATTCCCCGAAGCCGTATGGCAAATTCCATCGCCCGGAATTGTATCATAACAATCTCATCTTCAATTCTCTGCATTTTATTGTCAACTTCATCAATTTTATAATCATTGTCTTTCATCCTAACATTAACTTCTGATTTAAATTCTTCAACTTTAAAATCAACTTTCCCAATAAAATCTGCCAGGCCAGACGCCACTTCTGATATTTTTTTGGTCACCATAATTTGATTCTGTTTCACCATGTCTTTAATTTCATTAATTTCCTGCAAAAATTCCTTCCCTTCCTGCTTCTTTGAAGCCATCCTGGCTCGTGATCTAGTTTTTCTAAAGAGGGAGGTTCCTTTTCCTTTCCCTCCTGCACAAAGACTTCTAAAAAAGTCCCCCAGATTTGATCAAACAAGGGTTAAAATAAAGCAAAGTCCAATATTGAAAAGGGAAAAAATTTCCGAGTTATTTCTCTTGTAACAAGCAAGGCAGCTTAGTAGCAACTTGGAAACTTTGTAGCAAAACAAAGTAACTTCACCAATCCACACTCGCTGGCTCGTTAACTCTGAAGCTAGGCGCCATGTTTTTTCAAAGCACTTTCACTCACTCGCATTTTCTCAGATTGAAAAGTCAACAAAGTGCTAATACTTGCGTTTCCAAATTTCAGGATTCAGGTAGTTTCGCTGTTTATTAAAGCTGGTTCTTTCGCTTTAAGTTTCCTGCAGCCGGCTTGTTCTGCAGAAGCAGAATCGTCCCACGCCGCCCGGAGTCTCAGCAGGTTGGAAGGGAGCCGCGCCTGTTTCCTCCCCAGAAACGATTCCCTGGGGGGTTACAGGGGCTCGACCTGTGCCCTGCTATCTCTCCTCCAATAATCCTCAGGATTTTGAAGTTTTCGAGCCGCTTCTCGATCGCGAAGCGGCTCTACAGGCGGCGGGGCTGGCGGAGCTTCAAAGAGCGCCGCCGTCGCCGAAGACAAGGAAACCGGAAGTCCCAAGCAAAAGGCTTCTGAAGATGCTATTCATATGAACTCATTCAATGATATTTAGATCCCCTCATGTCATTCTTGATCTTTTGCTTCCTTCCCGTTTTCCTTACCACAAAATTATTGATTGTTTTTGTAACAGTTCATTTTCATGGTTTGAGAGGGACTATGGATTATACAACTGTATGGATTAAACATGCTTTTGAGATCATCAATAAAATGGGGCATGTTTTTCCACAGAGACCATAAGTATTATCCAAAAAAGAATTTATCTTTATAATTCAAGAATGAAAAAAAGAGATTTGTGTTATGTGTGTTTGTGTGTTGAAAGGAATGGACAATCACCACTGGATAAAATATAAAATGTCTTTCTTCTTTCACAGGGATTCTATTTCAAAGGACTTCTAATTGAAGAAGATATGGAAAAAATTAACTTCCATTATAAAAATACCAATACATGCCAAACCAAACTCAAGGTTTATTAAAACAGTTGCTTTAATCCAATTGGTAAAGCATAATGTTCAGAGTGCTTATTAACTGAAGAAGCCTGCATACACAAATATTTTATTTGGGGCATTTCAATAAAAGCAATTATTGTTTTATAAAATAATTTTTATTATCAAAAAGATGTTTTGAAATGAAAATTGAACTGCACACCATCAAAGAAATATATTAAATGAAAAATTTACACAGCTTCTTATTCTTCATTTATTTGTTGTATCTTGCTTGCACACTTGCTAAATTATTTAATATTTTGAAAAATTGATAGACAAAATCAGTTTTACACAACCATTCAATTCTTGAATTATTATTTTTTTTAGCTGATGACAAAGTTAGTGGTTTCTACCCCATTTTCTCCTCCTGAGAATGAACAAAGCACAATGAGTGTGCTGATTTCAGAATACCCATACTTACTCGACTACTCCTAGAGTTTAGGATATCCAAGGGAATAGAGTTTGATAGGCAGTGATGGATGAGAGAGTTGGCAAAACACATAGATATATTTTGTGTAAAGCATATCCAGTACACCTTCCTCCTATTTTCCCCACAGCAACAACTTTGGACTGAGAGTGGCTTGCCCAAAGACACCCCGCTTTTCAGAATCTCCTGCTTTCTAGCCTGATGCCTTAACCACTATGTGTTTCTTAACTATGCCATCATTTTCATGTCATTAGCAATAGACTTTCCAAGATTCCATAAAAAACTTCAGTTTCATTTACATTGGGGAGCTCTACCTTACTCGCACTTTGACTTACTGAAATCAGTAAAAAATAAGAACTTTCTTAATAAATCACAACTTAAACATGAATCCATTGTATGATAGAGCTACAAAAATGCCCTAAACTGCATCAACAAAATTATAATGTTAAGGTAAAGAAAAGTAATTGTTTATTCTGTATTGGTCAGACCACATCTAAAATGTTATAAAACTTAGGCAGAATGGTTGGAGGTATTAAATATTTAGTCTGGGAAAAAATCCATGGGAAGACATGGCAGCTATGAATCTCGGGAGCTATCGTATAGAAGAAGACTGGTTTGTTCTAGGACAGAGGTCTCCAACCTTGGCAATTTTAAGTCTGGAGGACTTCAACTCCCAGAATTCCTCAGCCAGCTTTTCTGGCTGGGGAATTCTGGGAGTTGAAGTCCACCAGGCTTAAAGTTGCCAGGTTGGAGTTCCCTGTTCTAGGAGACGACAAGAAAGTTGGCTGGGGAATTCTGGGAGTTGAAGTCCTCCCAGCTTAAAGTTACCAAGGTTGGAAACCCCTGTTCTAGGAGACACGACAGGAAAGAATATGTTTAAACTTTAAATTACAAGATTATGGTTGGGTATCAAAAAGAATTTCCTCATCATTGTTCAACAATGGAAAATGCTTCTCTGGGAGAAAAGGTACAAGATTTTTCTCTTTGGATAACTGCCTGGTGTTTATTTTTCTCAATCAGACAAATCATACACTAATTACCAGTCACAAAAAAACTGTTGAGGTTTTGATAAAATAAGACACAAAACATCAATGGGAATCATTTTCCATTTTCTACCTACCTACCTACCTACCTACCTAATCTATATCTACCTTGCCCAGAATGGCTAGGAGAACTTGGCTCCTTTGAATATTTTATATCCTGCTCCATCAGAAAGCTCTAAATTTCATGCAATTTCTTGTCAGTTCTGTTGTTTTGACTTGGGAAGTGATGATCAGAACAGTTTTTCAACCTATTCGGAGTGGGTGGCAGAACTTCATAGCCATGGAAAAATTAGATGTCTAGCATTAGTCTTTAGTTTCACAAAACTGGTGAAATTTGGTTAGCTTAACTGATTAGCAAGTTGACATCTGGGAGTTACTTTTTTTAAAAAACAGTTTTCCTAGAATCAGTAATGGTGTGTGATTTTCATAAAACAACCCCATGTTTGCAATTCCAATTTCCTCTAGTTTTATATGACTGATGATTTCAATTGGACTGGCTGACTGTCAATTGGCATTCCTGGCCATTTTCTAAAACAATCTTGTATGACTGTCGAATATGATTATTTTGGCTGATTGGGAAGCTGGAGTGAGAGGTTTGAAATGCAGCTTTTTCCTCTGGAAATGGGTTTCCATGGAAATTTTGTCCCTTATTGCATTAATGCAATGGTCCTTTGAGTTTGTTAACATAGCTGGGAAGATGGTGTTCTGGACCATTTTACCCTGTAGTTTAGATGGATTAAGGGGTTAGTAAAATGATTCTAAAAACACTACTGTTATTAAATGTTCTCATTTATCTAGAATACACTCTCGTTCTACCTGCATCAATATCATTGCAAACATGTCAATTATGGCCAGGGTTTTCCCAGCCTTTAAAAAATCCTATTCTTTAAGGCTTAACTGCGACTAAGCCCCACTGAATTTGAGTGGTTTATTATATCCAAAGGCTTGTGCCGTACAGTAATCTGCTTCGTGACCGACGACATTAGACTCCCTGCATTAGGTGCAGGGAGCGAAACCTGGGGTGCATTTTTACCATTCTTTTCCGTAATCAACCCAGTCCTCGTTTCTTCGGAGGCAAACCCTGAGGAATTCAGCAGAGTTTTCCTAGATAAGCCAATACAGGATTGGAATTTCAGGCGGGCGCTTTCCTGCCAATGCTTCAGCCAGGAAGGTGGCACGAACGGTCCCAGGAAGGAGAGCGCCGATTAGAGCGAGCCTCCAGCTCCAGTTCCCTCTCGGCTCAAACTGGGAAGTCGCCGAGCGAATGCCAATGGGCTGCTTCGTGAATGACCTGCGTTCCCTCCTCCCGTCTCCCCTGGCAGCGCCCGGGGCTGCGCCCCGCCTCTTACTTCTCGCTCTCGGTCAAGGTGCCTTGTGGGGCTCTCCTCCGCGTTGGCAATCTCTTGCCTCCCCTGAGGCCGACGGAAAGGTGAGTGCCGCGCCGGCCGTCGAGCGATAAGGCTGCTGAAGTTGAGACGGGGTGAGGGGTGGCGTCGTGGAAGCGGCCCTCAGGGTTGGGGTGCACCTGGCGGGAATGTAGCTTCCCGTTAACGCGCGCCCAGCCAGCAGGCCAGCCTCGCCACCAGGCTGCGCCTTGAAAGCTCTTCGGTTTCCTTGTGCGCCGCCTAATCCGCTGCTTGTTTGCCCTGAAGGAAGTCCCAGGAGGTAGAGCCAGGCTTCTGCTGGTGGGGGCAGGCAGACTCACTTGTTGGAAGCGATAAGCAGGAAGCTGGTTCATGGAGCAAAGGACATTTTGTGGATGAATTGCCTGAGAGCGCCCGCATCTTTACCCGCTTAATTTCCAGAAGATTAAGGCTTGGATTCATAAGTTTCAGCCTAACCAAGCAGACTAGAGTCACAACACAAAAGAAAACTTGGTTTATTGTTTGAGCTCCTGGCAGTCTTCAGGCAGTGTTCAAGAAACTGTGGATGGGGAAGTTTTCTGAATGTAAGTGGGAGTTAGTCAAGTGGTAGCACTGAGACTGAGACTTTCTTGTTTTTAGAAGCCAACCTTCCTCAAAGTTCAAAGTGTTCTCTGCCCCTCCTTAAACAAGCAGAAAATGAGGACTGCCCCTGTTGCAGATCCCTAACCTGTCATGGGTAACGTGGAGCCAGTCCTCTTATTGTGTGCAGATTTGCTAAGAGAAAGGATTGGTGGGTCAAGTTGGCATTGTTGCTCTCTCTCCTACCAGATGTCACCAGCCAGTGAGAAGACATTCACTCATTACTTTTCTTAAGGTGGACTAGGGCTGAGTAGGAGGTAGGTTTTAATGGAAGGAGTAAACCAGCAGATCCCACTGTGCTATACTGCCCCACCATCTATGACTGTCACTAGTTAGGCTGGTCCTTCTTTCAAAATCAAATCTCTGGGCCAGGCATTGTCCTAGATATCTTATAAGTGAGAAATCAGCTTGAAAGATCCAGATTTTTCTATTGTCCGAGCCCGAATGGGCATACAGGACAGTAAGGAGTGTGCTGCACCAGTTTGCAGTGGCTAATAGATCTCTTGCAGCCCCTGATATAGAATACTTTCTGCTTTTTAACGTTATGTCATAACCCATTTTAAAGCCATTGTGATGGAAACTGAAACAGGCAGTCCATGACTTACAACAGGTAACCTAATAGATCATAAAATCAGGTTGGTCACATGACAGTCTGTTTTACAACTATCACAACTTACTACCATAATTGGCAGACTCCATTACAGTCATAAATTGAATACTATCTGTATCATATTGAGATATAAAAAGTAAATGCTGCATTCCTTCAAATCAACCTCACTTCTTGAATATTTATTGGACATGTTCCGTGTATTTCCTTGGCAATAGTATAGGAGGTATTTGCCATTGCTGCTTTCCATGATGTTTTCCTTCCATTTTCCAATCAAGTCCGTGACTTGAGCTATATATCTGCAGACATACAATGGCTATCTTCATTCATTTAAATATGAGTCCAAATCTTGAATATTTTTCTTAAGACATGTTACATTATCAATTAACTGATAGTCAGCTAGAGATGATACAGATTGGTTGCATTTTTAGGATGCAAACTGGTATAAAGAGGGCCAAATGGAATAACAATCTTTTAATTCTCTACAAGGACACAAAAAAAGACATTTTGATGATGCTGAAAAAATAGACTTAAAACTTAAAATTTGTGCCTGAAGTTACAGCTACACATGGTCAGGCGATCAGAATCATGTAACTTTTAGGAATGGCATGAGCGATTGGGACAGGGCCGGATTTTCCTATAGACTAACTAGGCTTCAGCCTAGAGCCTCAAGATCAAGAGGGGCCTACATTCAAATTGTTAGCAAAATTAAAATTACACTTTCACTATAGGTGAAAGGGCCTCATAAGTGGAATAGCCTGGGGCCTCTTTTCATCTAAATCCGGCCCTGGATTGGGGGGATGAACCTTTCAAAGGATTCTATGAATGGGATGCCAGCTTGGATAATGATGAAAAGTGGCCTGGTGTGGCCATCAGCTGCTTCACATAGGCTGTGGGCATGCCTGGCAGCAGCAGGAGGAAAATGGAGAAAGTCAGTGGGGCATAGCAGATCTGGTGGAACACAGAGTGGCAGGGGCAGTTGGTGGTATTGCAGGCTGCAGTGTGGAGTCTGAGGCAGCATTTCTCAGTGGTGGCAACAGCAGCAGCATTGGGGCTGAACTTGGGGGCAGTGTCAGCTATCTGAGATAGCTGAATACCCCAGGCCTCTACCTCAGCCCTGCTGCTGCCATGAAATAATTCAAAAGGACATAGATTTGGAGGGGGGAGAGATTGAGGGGTGGGAATTGCAGTCATAAGCACTCCTGGGTTTGGTGGGTGACTGAGGCTTCCTGGAATGCGACCATGCTGTTGAGCCAGGCTGGGCGTGCTGTGGCTTCTAGGGGCACCGAATCTCTGTGCTGCACTGCCACACACACCCAAGTCATCCATGGCCTGTGCTGCAAAGCAGTCATGTGACATTTTGTTTAACAATTACTTCGCTGAACAACCAAGATTCTGGACCCAGTTGTGGTTGTAAGTGGAGGATCACTTGTATATAGTATTTGTTTTGCATTTTATGGGAGTTTTGACAGCTATAAGGCACCACCAACTTTTCTGGCAGCAGGGATAGAGTTTGGAAAAAAATTTTGTCTTCCATGGACCTGGGCAGGGAGGGGATAGTTCATGCGCAACCTAGATGCTGTGCATGCGCAGATGAAGCTTTGCTTGCTCACCTGCTACTTGTGTGGTCCGATTCCTAAGTGGCCACAAACCGGTATCTGTCTGCAGCCTGGGCATTGGAGACCAGGGACAAAAAGTGTCTTGAGACTAGCAGGTCATTAAAAATTGCAACCCTTAACAACAAAAACTCTTTAACATGAACCTTGATCTTATTCACTTCAGATTGCAGCATGCTGTACAAAACCAGATCAAAGAAAGATAGTAACCTAAGCTAGGAAATGAAGTCTCCTTAAAGGATTTAGTTTTTGAATAATTTTGTACCATTGAGTCAATCTTGACTTTTAGTTAGCACAGGTAGATTTTCTCCATAATGATGATCTATCCCTAATTTGGTCTTTCAACAGTGTGGTGGGCAGTTATACAAATTTGATTAATAAGTAAATAGTGCACTGTAACTGCTGTTGGTTGTCTTCTCTTTCCTTCTACTTTTCCCAGAATTACAGCCTTCTCCAGGAAGCTAGGACTTTACCTAATGTGTCCAAAGTAGGATACTTGATTATTGAAGTCTATTTATTTACTCAGAGATTAAATTGAAATGGAGCAGGTTTAATTATTTATTTCAAAGTACAGATAGTTCTCGACTTATGACTGGGTGTTTAACAACTGTTTGAAGTTATGATGGCTTGGAAAGGGTGTTTTATGGCCCATAAAGCACTTTCAGCCATCATAACATGTTCATATCGCCCACCCCCAGTTACATCATTGTGATCCCGGTGCTTAGCAACTGTTACAACTTCAAGCAGCTCATAATTATGTGATCACCATTTGTGATCTTCTCTTCTGGCTTCCCTAAAAAGTCAGTGGGGAAGCCAGCATGGAAGTTGCAAACTGCTATCAAAGGATTTTCCCTCCCTTCCACATATAGGTGGCTGCAGAAATAAAGCTTGGATCTTCCTTTCTGCAGCCCGGTATAGGAGTTCCTCTCCCCTCTGTATGTGGAAGAAAACAAGTGTGCTGACTGGAGAAACATAGTAGGGATTGTGAAAAATTCTCTTCTGTGCATGGAAGGGAGAGGAGCCCCTGCTCTAGACTGGAGAAACAATGTGGGGATCCTGAAGATCCAAGCTTTTTCCAGCCCACTGCACAAGTTCTCTTCCGTGTATGGAGGTTGGGGGGAACTCTTCCAAAGGTCTGCAGAAACCAAGGTTGTATTTGTATTTTTTTGTATTTTTATTTATTTGTCAAGCATGTATGAGAAAATAAGTATAAGTATAAACATATAAGTATAAACATATAAGTATAAACAGGTATAAGTATAAACATAAGAAATGAGTACAAATAAATGGAAACAGTAGGACAGGGACGGTAGGCACGCTGGTGCGCTTATGCATGTCCCCTTACATTCCCTCTTAGGAATGGGATGAGGTCCACAGTAGATAGTTTAAGGTTAAAGTTATGGGGGTTTGAGGATGTAACAACAGAATCAGGTAGTGCATTCCAGGCATTGACCACTCTGTTGCTGAAGTCATATTTTCTGCAATTGAGTTTGGAGCAGTTTACTATGAGTTTGTATCTATTGTTTGCCTGTGTATTATTGTGGTTGAAGCTGAAGTAGTCATTCACAGGTAGGACATTGTAGCAGACAATTTTGTGTATTAAGCATAGGCCAGATCATGGGCGGCGTAGTTCTAGGTTGTCCAGGCCCAAAATTTCAAGTCTGGTGGCATAGAGTATTCTATTGTGAGAAGAGGAGTGGCGTACTCTTCTCGTGAAATACCTCTGGATTCATTCAATTGTATTAATGTCCATTATACAGTGTGGATTCCAGGCAGACAACCTGTATTCGAGAATTGGTCTGGCAAAGGTTTTGTCTGCCCTGGTTTGTAGTACAATGTTCCCGGAGAAGAAGCTTTGCAAAATTAGGTTCACAACTCTTAAAGCCTTTTTGGCAATGTTGTTGTTATAGTGAGCTCTAGGGCTTAGAGTACTTGAAATGAGTATTCCTAGGTCCTTGACAGAGTGAGGGTTGTCTACGAGGTCGTATCCTCCCACCTTGTATTTGGTGTTCTGGTTTTTGTTGCCAATGTGTAAGACAGAGTGTGTAATTGCTAATATGTAAGACAGAACATTGGATCACAATGTTCCAAGCTTCATTTCTGCAGCCAACTACTTTATGCACAGAAGGAAGCTGCCTGTCCTCTTTTGGCAGGGAGCTCTTTTGCTCCATCTATGCAGTCTATGCCTCCATCTATGCCTAAC